TCAAAAGAATTATATGGGCACGTTGGCAAGGTCCCTGCTGTGAACGGAATCATCTGTCATCTCAAGAGGAAGATATTCCAACACGCACCTGTAAAGAAAACCACTGCCAAGGTAAGTGATTAGCATCCTGGTGTAATTTTGAGCAGTTGTTCATGTTGTAAACCAACATCTATGTGTTCTCTGTTTCCTTACAAGTGATTTTTATTGTACAAATTAGTAAGAGTATGTCAGATATGTTTTCCTCTCTGCATAAGAGAGTAAAAAGCAGTAATTAATATTTAAGTCAATAAGTCTAAAGTAAGTGAATTTGTAGTTGTTAACATACATTTCAGAATTATTTTTTATACAGATAACATTGTTGGAGATATAATTTAGTGTAATTTAGGAGTGTAAGTCATTTTTATCTGGGGAATTGGTTTTGGAAATGTTCTTTGAAGAATAAAAATGATTGCTGCTTTTCATTTGAATAACATAAAATTTTAATGAAGTTTCCTAAATCAAACATAAAAACTAGGGAAAGAATGCATGAGCCATACTTTTATGAGTAAAATTATAACCAAATAGAAGTATTTTGATAAGCCTCTTGCCATTTTTTTTTAAGGTTTCATTTAGTGTGTAATTACTGTGAAAAGATTGAATTTGAATTTTCTCTCTTTTTTTTTAGCTTAGCTTTTATATGTAAATCTATAAATAGTATAGTACTCTTTTCTAATGAACTGAAAACTTCTAGTTAGTTTATTGCTATAGTCTTCCAGATTATATGGAAAATGTATTTGTGATTTAAATGTCCTTTGCCTGTAGAGGCCAATGGAAACTTAAGGTAAGATGTAGCTTTCAGAAGATAGTAAGAGCCTAAGGAAGAAAATGTTTTCTTTATTTTTCTTCTCTACATTGGAAGGATTAATAGGATTTGCAATTGACTCAATAACATGCCATCATCTATGTCTGAAAGTAATAATTTATTCTTTACATATATGATACGAACATGTGCTATGGATATGAGCATATCTATAAACCTTTGCCTGAAAATTTTTCATCATAGACTTTGGAAAAAATATTATTAGCTCAATTGGTGTGACTTCATTTACATTAAATGCTATTATCAAAGTCATAATTTTAGTATCAGAATACAAAATGTCTTAAGTATTAGCCTCAAGTATATACCTAGTCAGAAATATACAACTCATCTATAAGTTTTTTTTATTAGGAAAGATGATCAATAAGTTTATTAATCTATGAAAAAATATGTAAATTTAGGCAATTTGAGAGTTGTTTTCTTTATTAATATGAAGGATTCTGGTATTTAGTGGAAAAGGTCATAGTTGTAAGTATAATAAATAATCCCCAAATAGGATACTCTGGCAGACATTTTCTTTATAATTATTAAATTGGTAGTTATAACCTTTTTGTAATGTGTTTGGAATATGAATTTACTGTTATGTTCTAGATTTTTCAATATAATAAAAATATTAAGCTTTTCTCCCCAATTTTACTTTGTCCTTCAAGTTTTAATATTTTATATCTAGAAATAGTTCAATCCTTTTGAAATATTGGCTCAAGTTCAACTAAACTTTCAAATTTAAGTATTCTCATAAAGGAAATTAATTTAAATATGTCACATAAAAGTGTAAAGACCCCATATGCATGTTAGAAGTATATGTTCCATTTGCACTAAAGGAAATTATTTATAAATTTAGAGATGTTTTTTCTCTAATGATCCTTTGTAATACTTTATACATTGAAGCAAATATGCTTATTCTCATTTGATTACAAGGGGAAAGCCCCAAATTGTCTCCTAGGATAAGGGTGGCTTATTTAAGATCTTAAGAAAGGCTCCTAAAAAGTGCTTTTCAGTCATATAGAACAGCTGACTTATTCATAAAAGGAAAGAGTTTATTTTACTATTTGAGTTTTGCTTTTTAAATTTTTTTGGCATTTTTGGAAAAGACACACACATGCATTCTGAAGCATTTAAGCTACAGTTATTTATAGTAACAAATTTAGTAAAAGAAGAACTATCATATTGACAGAGAGAGTGCCATAGGCACTTATTTTTTTTTTTACCTTTATTTATTTATTTATTTATTTATTTTAAATCTGGGCAAGTTTCTCTTCTAGTCCTGAGTTTTTTGTGATTAGTACATTTAATTTGTCAACTTGGGGTACATATTCAAAGTTGGTAGGTAGAAAGTTGACAAAATATGTTTCTTATATGGTTTGCTTAGTAAATGTTTTCAGTACTGGAATAGGTCATGAGATACAATTAATTCAGAAGAAATATTCAAAGACAGCAGGAACACCAGGAGAATATTTCAAAGGCATGATTGTGTTAAGGAGAAAGTCTTTGATGCTTCTCTATTTGCACGTGATAAGTAGAAGGACAGTTGCTGAAACTTATGTGGTTATTGAAATATATCTGTCGTATAAATACGCACCTGAATATAAGATATATATTGATATATTTTACTTTTTCTGTACTGAACCTTTGAAATCCCAGGTTAATTTTATTCTTGCACCTCAGTGTGGACTGGCCACACTAAGGGCTCAGTACCCACATGGTGCTCGTGGCTACTCTTGTGGGTATTGTGTCTAGATTGTCCTGTCTCATTTTTAACATCATGGCTTCTCATTTCACAGGGAATCTTTCTGTACTTCCCCAGGCCTGTTGGTTTCCTCTCATCCTCAGTCCTGTAGAACCATATTTCTTTCCTTTAGAGCTCTTACCATCTTTAACTAGTCAGACAGTTTGATGCCTGTCTCTTCCACAAATACAGGAATGGATGTTTCCATTGTATTTCCAGTCTTTATACACAGCTCAATAAGTAGAATTTGACATAATGAATTTTGCTGATTACTATAAGGTAACTTGGACCAGAGTCACAAATTTAATTTTAGACCAAGTCTTGCTAATTAATTTTGCTGGGATGATAATGTATAAAATATCACTAGTATGAGAAATAGTTTTAATTATAAGTTGTTCACGTGTAAGGATATTTTTCTAGATGATAGCTCACATTTTTTAAATAGTAGGAAGCTTTTAAAACAGACTTAATGGTAAAACTTAATGGTAAATGACTCAAATTTTTATTTAAGTCTTATGGTCATATTCATGTTGAAAATTGATTTAAATTATTATAAAAGTAAATATTTAAAATGAATGAAGATTTTAGATAAATTTCATTGAAAATAGTCTAACTTTTTCTTTTTAAGTATGCTTACTATGAGTCTGATAAAATAATTAAACCACCTGATCCACAATACTTAATTACTTGAAAGCCAACAATAATATACAAATTATATTTTGGCCATATTTTAGATAATCATAGGTTGTGACATAGTCTTGAATATAAAAGAGAAAGTAAACATGGTCCCTATTGTAGCTAAATTTACACTGTTGTGTGTGCTACACAAGTGGAAAATGAGGTACTCTTATTAAAGCATTGGATAAGATTTCATTGCAAAGCTAATATTTGAACTGTATCTGGAAGGGATTGTAGGCATTTATCAAAGGAACAGCACAGACACAGTGTTTCAAAAACACTTTATAATAGTTCCTCTAAGCAATTAGAAGCAAATAATTCAACATAGTCTCTATGGGTAGGGCAGAGCCCAGAAATGATTCTGAAGGACAGCTTGACAGTGGCGTCACACAGAGCCCACATGGCATCCTAAGGAGCTTGAACCTCTCCTGCCTGTCCTGCAGGCAGCAAAACAGTGGAAGAGGGACCTTAAAAGTGTGAGCGGTGAGGGGGCAGTTACAGTAAAAGAAATAATGGGGCGTAGACTGCCTTAGTGTGGGATGTGGAGAAGAGAGTATAGAGTACACACTGTGTACTCATCCCCCTCCCAGCTCTCAACCCTCCCTGCCCCACTCCCACCCTACTCCACCCAGAGGACTGGGTGTCATTCTGGCAAATTCTTTAACTGTCAGGGATCCTAATGTGTGTGTATTTTAATGAAAACTTACCGTGTAATAAGTCCGTTACTTACCAAAGGGTAGGATACGCTTACAGGGTATAAATGATTGTGATTCAAGCAGTGTCATTTTCCACTGCATGCTGAAACTTTTCATGTAAATCACTTCTTCCTTAAACGATAGCCTGATTTTGCTGTGTGGTCATAGTAACTTTAATTTACTTCAGAGTGAAAGGATATTTCATTAATTAACCTTAAAAATGATGACGTGTTTTTAGTGCATTGAGGTTGTAATTATGTTGTTATGTGAGAGACCATTTTCAGGATTGTCAGAACTTAAGGCATTCTAAATATGTATTAAATATGTATTATTATTAAATATGAACTTAAGTAGAATTCTAAATAGGAACGTCAGTAAAGTCACAACTCTCTGTGCCATGAACCAACACTGTAACAAGGAGCAGGTGGTCAGGATAAAATGCCTTCGCTCTGAAACCATTTCTCATGGGGCCAAAGCAGCAGTAAGGAACATCACTGTTCATTCTGCTCTCTGTCCCAGTCCTGTAACACAGTTTTGCTAAAATGTATTAGGAAAATCGCCCTGATCTTACTGGCTGCAAAGATTACATGGTCACACTGGTACATTCCTGACAAAGCTTTGCTATTAATTGTAACAAACTGTCACACACACCGCACCAGCCCTTTCATTCCCAGTGTCCCCTCAGGTGGTTTTTAAAGGGCAGTGGAAAGTAAAGCCTTTTTTTCTCTCTCTTTCTTTATCGTGTGTGGTGTCACAGGATTGGTGTCGCGATGGGCTTTTCATTATATCCATTTTTTTTTTTAAGCCTTAAGTGAGGTTTCAGTGGCAAAAGTTTAGGTTAATGTTTTTAAAATATCTATATTACATGGATAATAACATTTAATCAGTGTTAAACTTCATAAGTATGATATTTAAATCAAATTTCATGTTTTATCCTTTGAATTAATTTTGGCAACTTCACTACTTCAAAGAACTGGATTATGTTACATTTTTTACCTAATATTTTTGTGTAAACGAATTAAAATGCATTTGTTTTTCCGTGCAGATTTGAGTTCTGTGAACCTGCATTTGTGGTTGGCAATTGCCTCCAGATAGCATCTGACAGTCATCAGTATGATCGGATTTATTGTGGAGCTGGAGTCCAGAAAGACCATGAGAACTACATGAAAATATTACTGAAAGTTGGAGGCATCCTAGTCATGCCTATAGAAGATCAGGTAACCTCACCATCCTCTTGCCTAATGGCATACAAAACAAACGCATTAGTTTAGGATGGGAAATGTCTAACACCAGTAAAGGTAGTGTAATTTTTAAAGAAGAAATAGTCTTCATAGATCTAAATATATTAAAAACTTTGAGATGGACTCTTAATTATCTAACCAAAGGAGGTATAGACAAGCTCTCTCCACCACTATTAGAAAAGACTTGGTCTTTCACCCACGCTTAGCTACGATCTTCATGTTACAATAATCCCCCCTTATCCTTGATTTCACTGTCTGTTGTCTCAGTTACCTGTGGTCAGGCATGGTCTGAAAAATATTAAATGGAAGTTTCCAGAAATAAATAATTCCTAAGTTTCAAAGTGTGCCACATTCTGAATAGCATGATGAAATCTTGAGCCTTCTCTCTCTGTCATGCCTAGGACGTGACTCATCCTGAGTCTATCATATCTACACTGTACACAACCTGCCGTTTAGTCACTTAGAAGCATCTCAGTAATCACAGCGACTGTTGAGGTAATGCAGTACCTGTATTCCACTTATTTTACTTAACAATGGCCCCAGAGTGCAAGAGCTGAGATGCTGTCAATTTGTGTATGTCAAAGAGAAGCCATAAAGTGCTTCCTTTAAGGGTAAAGGTGAAGGCTCTTGGCTATTATTAATAAGGCATTGTATTAGCTCACCTTATCCCAACACGAATGGTGAGTACAGTAACATCAGGTATTTTGAAAGGAAGACCACATTTACGTAACTTTCATTATAGTATCTAATTAAAGCATAATATGCTAATTAGACCGGTCAGCTGAGTGACCTTCCAGACGTCCTTGTGGATGAAGCTGGGGCTGTGAGGGCCAAGCCCCTTGCACAAGTTTCGTGCATCGGGCTTCTAGTGTTGTTATAATTCTGTTTGTTGTTTTTGGAGCGTTTATTTTACCGATTTCAGAGAGAAAAAGGGAGAGGGAGAGAGAAATAGAAACACCAATGATGACAATCATTGATAGGCTGCCTCCTGCACATTCCCTGCCAGGGATCTTGCCCGAAACCTGGGCATGTGTCCTGCCCAACCTGGAGACCTGGAATGGAACTGGGACTTCCTGGTTCATGGGTTGACGCTCAACCATTGTGCCACACCAGCCCAGCTGATTCTGTTTAATTATTAGCTATTCTTAATCTGTTACTGTGATTAATTTATAAATTAAATTTATCATAGGTATGTATATATAAGAAACAAATAGTCTGCATAGGGTTTAATACTACCCGTGGTTTCAAGTGCCCACTGGGAGTCTTGAAACATACCCCTATGGGTAAGCGGGTACTGCTGCATCTCCCAAGCTGCTCCCTCCTTCATCTTCCTGACCTAGAGGTGTTCAGTTGAATGTGGTGCTCTCTACTAGCTGTTCCGTTTTCAACATTTTAAAATTCCTTTAACATCTAAAGAAATCCTATTTGGGGGTTGTTTGGACTGCTTAACGCCACTAAAGAAACAAGCAAATTTTTAAATCTTCATTTGGTACTTCATAGACTCATTTGAACATATTTTTCAGCTATTTGCCTGCCTGTGGTTTGTAATTCTTAGGTATAACAAATGTAATACTCATTTGTTCAATGTGTGGATCTTTCAAAAGCAAGTTACTTTAAAAATTTATAAAAATGCATTTCAAAAACTACCTTTAATATTCATATTAACCAGAATCTGAGATGTTTAAAACACCGTGTGATTTGTATGGAAGACAATAGATGGTCTGACATGACTGGGACCTGGCGTGATGTTCTGGAGTTTGTTTAGCTTGGGAGTCCCTTCTCATCACAACATGTTATTTGCATCTCAGTGAAGTTCACCGTTATTATGCACTGTGCACATTGTCTGTTGGTTATTAAAAAGACATAGTACAAAAATAATCATTGAAAAATGTTTTGGAAAGATGTTACTTGAATGTTTCTAGAGTTGAGACCCCCAGATGAACAATCTTTTTCTGTTTTCCTTTACAGTTACAAATTTGGACATTTAAAATATGGCTTCCCATTGGTGTTTTGTTAAATATTTATTATACACTATTTTACTGATATAAAACGTAATTATTTTTATCATATAAATTGAAGATAGTAGCTTGATCAAGCTATGTCCTGGGCTAATCACTTTTCCCCCCAAGGACTGATGATGGATGTTTACTGAGTAGGTATAACTTTTAAACCCTTTATGAGTAATTACATTTATTAGTGAAGTATCAAATTGAGATTAGAATTAGGATATATATATTTTATTGCCATTAAGGAAGATCATGAAGTTGACTTATTGGTATAGTATTCAAAACATGTTTTTTTTTTAAATATAATTTTTTATTTAGCTAAACATGTGTGAGACATATTTTGAGAACCAATGGCAGGTACGGATTGGAATTATACCGCTAGAAGCCATCAGACCCCAGATGTAACATGCAGTGACACTTTGGCCACATTGGGATATTCCATTTGCATTGAAATGCCTGTCTTCAGCAGACAACATTTATGATTCCTTCTTTATCCTTTTACAGTAAATATTTAAAAGTAATTTGGTTGCATTCACATATTGGTAATTGTATAGCCATGATTGGCAGTTATTTTGTTAAAACAGAATTGTGACTGTAAGGAAATCACATTTCCAGAATTAAGCTATTCTATTTCTTTTCCCCCTCTAATAGTTAACACAAATTATGCGAACTGGACAAAATACTTGGGAAAGTAAAAATATTCTTGCTGTTTCATTTGCTCCACTTGTGCAGCCAAGTAAGAATGATAATGGCAAGCCCGATTCTGTGGGACTCCGTAAGTAACTGGTCCTCTGCAACTGAACTGTGACTTCCGCTCCGAGGCCCGGGATTTAATGGCCTCTCTCATTATGAAGAATTAAGTAGATATGCAGTAATATATTCATTGGATTTATTCACTTTTCTGTTTAATAAAGCCCTATCTTGCTCCAGACACTATTAGCTGCCTTCGTAGAAGCATGAAAAGAAGGGGCAAGTGAAACAAAAATGAATTTATTAATTATAGTTGTGAGATGATTATAATTTATTAACTTGGTGGCGTTTTCCATACAGAGGGACAGCAAACACAAACGCCTTTATTTAGGCTGAAAAGAGCTTGGTCATTCCAAGACCAGAAATAAGTTTTAGGGTAGTTGAAGCTCACTGGCCATGCTCACAACCTTTCTCATGCCGTGGCCCTTTAATGCAGCTCCTCGTGTGGTGGTAGCCCCAACCATAACATTATTCTCGTTGCTACTTCATCACTGTCATTTTGCCACTGCTATGAATCGTAATGTAAATATCTGTGTATAGGTTGACTCAAATCCTTTTTCTAAGAAGAATATATGTTAACGGGTATATTTAAAAAAATAATTGATAATGCTTTCAGAATTACAAAAGGTTGAACATATTTTAGTAACAGACACTAATATAACCCTCCGCATCTCTCTTTTTATCTGACAGTTTTTCTAGTTTAGTTTCCTTTCGAAGAGTTTTGGTTATAAATGTGGTTTTTATAGTAGCATTGGATTTATTATGAACAGCATGGATGATAATATGCTTTAAATGAGCGATTTTTGTTCTCCCTCCATTTTAAGGATATCAACACAAATAGATCTAGGTAGTTAATAAGACTGTCATTGGTTGAATTGATTGACATTTGTAATTGTGAATGTAAAGTAGGAATTTGATGGAAGAGGTAAAATGGGGGAAGAGTCTACATTTAAAAAAGTATTCATCATACCTCTGATCAGGGATCAAACCCGCAATCTTTTGATGTATGTGTCTGGAGCCACCCTCCAACCCACTGAGCCACCCAGTCAGGGCTGTTCTCAGTTCTTAGAATGATGCTTGGCAGTTGGTAAACATGTGGAAATCTGTTAGTTGGAAGTCAGAGTTTTTATACTTACTGTTTCCTAGCATTCACCAAGAAATACATTTGTTTCTGTGATGAATAGTATATAATGCTCTTTTTGTGTATGTGCTGTTTTTTTATAGCCCCCTGTGCTGTCAGGAACCTACAGGACTTGGCTCGTATTTATATCCGACGCACACTTAGAAATTTCATCAATGACGAGATGCAGGCCAAGGGGATTCCTCAGAGGGCTCCCCCCAAAAGGAAAAGAAAGAGAGTTAAACAGAGGATCAACACGTACGTGTTTGTGGGTAATCAGCTCATCCCTCAGCCTCTAGACAGCGAAGAGGACGAAAAAATGGAGGAAGACAAAGAAGAGGAAGAGAAAGATGACGGGGACGCCATGAAGCCGGAGGAGCCCCCTCAGAATCTGCTGAGAGAGAAAATCATGAAGCTCCCTCTCCCCGAATCTTTAAAAGCTTACTTGACATATTTCAGAGAGAAATAACTTAAACGACGAAGAAAGAATGCCTACTGATAATTCCTTTAGTCTTGAACACGTAGCATTTGTTAGAAGTTAAAGGAGAGAGAAATCTCTTCTCTCAGCAAATTATAGAGGGGTGGGGGAGTATAACGTTTCTGTCTTACTAATGATGTATTCAGTGATTAAAAATAATCCCTTTTATAAAATATATTTTTCTTTAAATCTTGGGAAAATTGCTGTTTTAATCCAGTAACTTTCAAGAGTGGGATACAACAATAGTCAAGACTTTGTGTACTGTAAATCTTTTTCCGATTCCCACAGATTTGTAGTAGTGAGGGGTGGACTTCATTTTATATAAGGTTACATAATGGTTCAGCAAATACAACCTTATTTGAATGGCAGTTTGCCTTTCCTCTATGGAAACTCAGATGCTTTGTAGACCCACTTACCTTCCTGTTTTTTGCAATCCCTATTGCTGAGTTACTGTAGATGCATTCCGGGCAATATATGAGTGCAATAACAATACAGACATTGAGTCATTTAGCTTTAAAAAAAAAAGCTTCACGGAATTCAACAGCACTGCTCCTTTTGCTTTTGAATCTATTGCCAAAAGACACGGGAAAATACCTGCTTCTCTCATAGAGATTTAAAGAGCATACATCAAGTGAACATTAAAGTAAAACATATATGCTTAATACTCATAATTTGTATGGACCCTTTACGTTTTCAGTATTTAAAAATGATGAGGTTATAATACTCTGGAGTTTTAGAAGATAGTATATTTAGGATTTTTTTTTTCTATAGGCCACTGGGTAAAGTATTTGGTTTAAAAAAAAAAAATCCATTGTTCTGTATGACTGTGGATAGCGCAGTGAGTGAATGAAGAGCATGAGTGACGGTCACTTCTGGATCCTGCTCGGTGGCAGCGCCTGAGCAGAGTTGGTTATAGCAGGTGCACTTTAGCAAATGGAACTTCTAGTTCATCTGAGTATCTCTTTGGCTGAATTAGTCCGCGTTTGCTTTCAAATTCATTTTCGTAGTATAAGGAATAGTCGCAGAAATTGTATATAGATGCCTTTTGCTTTGAAAATCTAGTTCCAAGTCATAGCGTAATCTTTGGGACCCACATTGTGCACATTTAATTTCTTCCCATGTCTGTTCTTTCTTTTGGTAAAATTATAATGGTTTTCATTTTTTTTCGCTGAATGTCACATACACTATCATTTGACAGTTATAGCTTTTCAGTGATAACACAAGTAGTAAATGCCATTTTTTTAGTGTCTTTTCATCCTACTAGGGCCTGAAATCAGTCATCCTCTTTAAGGTATACCAGATAGCCTATTTAGTCATGAGTGTCACAAGGATTATGTATTATTTAATAGGAAAAGTCTGAGAGTATCACTTATTTCCACCAGCATCACTGTTAAAATAGTTGATCAAATATGCTGAAGGAAGCCCAGTCAGTGTGCAGTGGAAGGATTATCACCTCTGCGAATATTCAATTAGGAATACGCAGATGCTTTAAAAAAAAAAAAAAATCTCAGTTCTGGAAAGTCCACATGTCTAAAACCACATGTTTAAAATATCCTAAGCATAAACGATCCTAAATAAATGAGAACATTTTAGTTAGATAATTCCATGGGAGGTGTTTGTGTTCCACAGTGACAGAGGCTAGAGGGTTGGGTGGGGCATCTCCACAAGTTTTCTCAGATGACGGCTGAACTGTTACTTTTAAATGCCTCAGGCCACTTCTGTCAAGGAAATCGTTTTATACAATTGTCATCTATTTAATTTTGAATTAAATATTAGTTTTAGAAGTTTAATCTTGAGTTCCTGTTACATATTTTTACCCAGCACCTCTCCACACACATTTGTTGTTTTCAGAGCTGATTCAGATAGGCAGACGTGATGATTTTGTTCTGATGGTTTTGCTGTAAGGAGAGAGTTTTTATCTAGGCTGATTTTGAAGATTGGCTTTTTCATCACATTTTTTAGTCTGTTGACCTTGGCAAAGTGTACACCAGATTTTCATGATTGCATATTTTTGTCATTTAAATGTATCCTTTTTGTTTTTAAACGCATTCATTTTACAGTTGTGACTTTATTATTGACTTTAAAGAAAGAAGTAGAAATAAAAACTGATAATGCAACTGAAAGCCCTTTTATGTATCAATGGGAATATAGTAGAGTGATTAACAATACGTTGGTTTGTGTTTATTTTTCAGTGCATTCATGTTTACTTGAATATAGGTGATTATGCTTTATAAGTGGAGAAGTAGCAAGTAAAAGATGAAGTAAAGTTAATTGAAAATGATGAGTATATCATGTGGTTTTTATAGCCAGATAAAACAATAGAAATAAGCTAACCCAGTAAATTATTCTGCAAGAGAGAGTAGGGGAGGTAGCATGATTTTCCTAAATCAGACAGCTAGCTGGAGATGGCTCAGAATAGCATCCAGCATCTGATTAAATTCCAAGGAATTTGTCAATTGGCACCATAACTACTAAGGAGATAATTTAAATCTATACTGCTTATTGGTCTATATAGTTGGTTACAGTATTAATAAAGGAAAATGGCCCATGTAGTGGTTAAAATAAAATATTAAAAAAATGTGTGTTGGTTTCTAGCTGTCTGTGAGCATAAAGGTGGAGCAAAACCTGTTAAATCGTGGGAAGACTTGGAAAATTATTTTAAATAAACAATGGCATATAATGAAACCATTTTTCAGTGGCCTGGCTTTTTTTCTTCTTCTTTAATTTAGGAAAACTCAATACCCTGTGGTCTGTATTTGGACATCTAACATTCCTTTGCCTGTTGCCACCTCTAAAAAGTGTAGGGTACTTGAAAAACTAGTAGCTCTGAAGGGTGTTTATAAAATGTGTGTGAAGTACAAGGAATACTTCAGTGTACATGTAAATACAGCAAGTCCTCACTTAATGTCATTGGTAGGTTCTTGGAAACTGGTCTCAAGGTAAACAGTGTACAGCGGAACCAATTTTATCCTAGGCTAATTGATAAAACTTAAGTTTCTCCTATTTATCACAAAAACATCACCACACTTTACGGACCTCAAGTCACATTTTTTGTTAAACATTGAAATACATGTGAGTTACACATCCATTTAAGAAAGATGAGTAAAAATAAGACACTGTTTTTTAACCCACTTATTCCTGTCCCAGGAACCTGGCAGCGTGGTGCGTGCAAACATACAGGGAGATTAGGCACGCCATGCACCTCCTGTGCACATCTTCGGGATGTGGGAGGAAACCAGAGAAAGCCCACCCGCACAGGGAGGGTAGGAAACGCCACACACAGTGGCCTCACCAGGAGTCAGCTTATTCCTCAAACGTAACAAAACGATGTTGAAGAAAAATATGTTATTCAAGGACGCCCTGTGTGTGTGGTCCTACTGTTAGGATGGCCTACTTGATTTACCATTAGATGTGGGCTCCTTCACAACCTCACCTTAATCCCTGCCTGCTCATGGGTAACCCTTTGTGTTTATCAGGGACTTGCTTTTGCTGTAATCCTTTCGTCTCATGTGCCAGTATCGGTAAACTTTATGGAAGTGGAATCATATTTCATGCATTCTTTTGCAATGCAATCTTCTCACATTTACCCCAAGATTCAACTAGGATGTATCTAGTTAGGTTACTTACATTCACATCTCACATTTTAATTAATCTGTTGATGGGCACGTATTATTCCCTTAAATAATTCTGTTGTGGACATTCTTCAGCGTGTTTGTGGCTGTATGTGAGCAAGAGTGTGTACATAAAGGCGATACTGGGTCATGGAACATGTTGCAAATGTTTTTCCCAGTGTAACAGTATATGTTCCTTCTAGCAACATTCAGATGTTCCATTTTTCCATCTCGCCTACATTTGGTACTGATTTTTGCCTCTGACAGGGGCTATGTGACATATTAAGGAGGAGTGAGTGAGTGTGTGTGTGTGTGTGTGTGTGTGTGTGTGTGTGTGTGTGTTTAATCTCTTTAAGTGTTCCTTGATTTTAGGTTTTCTTTCTGTAAAGTTTCGCTTAGTAATTGTAGGAGTGGGAGTGAAATGGAAGAAATTGGCTTTTTTGGTTTATTGCTATACTTAGACAATAAAAGACACACGAACAATGTCCAGAGTACTTGAAAGTTTGATTTATTTTAAAATAAATCATTCTTGTTCATGATTAACTTTTTTTCTTCTGATCTTCATGTCTTAACAAAAGCCCCACACGTTTAAGTTTGAACACTTTGCCAACAGAGGGCAGTGTGCACCTACAGTGGAATGCAAAGGGATCAGAAAGTGACCGGAGAGGAGGCCCATGAATTTATTTTCCCCATGAGGTTGATACAATTCCATAAACCAGCTCTCCACTCACTAGATTTGTCTCCCGGTCCAGTCATCTGGGACCATCCATGTTTCAATTTGTTTTTCTATTACTTCTACATTTTTTAAAGTGCTGGTTTAGGGTGAAATTTGTTTGAAAATTTCAGTCTTTAAAGATAAAACCAAAACCCTTCTTAGATAACTGCTTAGAGTGCCAAAAAAGATGCATTTAACTGCGATTTGTTGATGTGTGTCCCCAAAGGGGGGCTGGCCCGCTCACCCCGGGACCCCTGAGCCAGCTCAAGCTGCTCAGGAAAAGCAGAGCCCGGCCACCGGTGCTGTGTCCTGAGGTTGCTCAGCCTGGTTCTGGAAGGGGCAGAAAAGGAGGTTTGGGAACCAGCTAGAACTGTGAGAAATACTCATCATGCTCTATTAACCATGATTGTTTTATTCTGATTAAAGAAGGTGCATTCTAGCTGGGCCGGCAGCTGCCCTCGGGACCTGGGAGCTCCCGGAGATCAGCGCTTCCCCCCCATATCGAACTGCCTATTATTAGGAAAGCGCTAATTGAAGCTCAGAGTGTGGTTCCAGTTGATTGTAAGTTGGCAAATGGCATTTGTTCTGTTCGTTGTTGGGCCTTGTCCTGCATGGGTGATGTTCTCACACTCAAGCCCATGAGACACTGTTGGTTTTCCAAAGCA